AGATGGCTGGCTGGGGAATTCTGGGAAGTGAAGTCCACTCATCTTAAAGTGGCCAAGTTTGGACAACACTGCCATATGGCTTATATAACCTGCTGAATCTGAGCCACTTGCATGCAGAATTTTCTCAGTGGAGATTAACCACTGCCCTGCATAAAATAACACTCAACACGATAAAAAACTAAAGCCTACCTGCAGCATCTCTAGAATTAAAATGTATTCCTCAATCTTAGGAAAAAGGTTAGATGGATGGGTGGCAAACCAATGGCTGGCAATTGGTACAATATATGCCAGGAAACTAAAACTGTGCTTCATAATTTCAAGGTTTGGAATTTGATGTACACAGACTTCAACTAGATGATATTTAAGATCCCTTTCAATCCTTATGTTCTATGATTATATTACTTTCACTATCACACACTGGCACTGGAAATCAATATATGCAGTTGATTAATTTATTTACCATTTTTACAATCTTTGCTTTCTGCCTAAGAGATTTATAAACTGTTCAAGATTATCTCCCAGACCCTTGTCAAAGAAGGAAGAATGGCAGAACTGATCAGCAGAAGGATTTGAATAGATGACCAGCACTCTGAGTATGTATCAGAATCCAACATCCCCCAATTTGACATCTTTCAGATGTACTGAGGTTGCAGATCCAAAACATTGCACTGGCTTTTGTTTCCAGACAAAGTATGAAATTCTGGCCATGACCTTCGAAGCCTTAGATGGCCTACATTTAGCCTATTTGAAATGATGACTATTTATGGGAGTTTCCAATACTTACTGGGATCATCTGAGGAGGTTCACCTGCAACTGCCATAAGGTCATTCAGCCATGACCTAGGATCAGGACTTCACTGTTACTACCCCAGCACTTTCGAATGCACTCCTTGCAGAGCTGAGGGACTCACCACCTTTATTAGCTTTTCAAAAGGCCCTTAAAATATTTTTAGTCCAGGATTTTAACTACTAATTTTAATTACTCATTTACTTGTTTTACTTACTATTTTAATAGTTTCTGATCAATAGACTGTGGTAGTCAGTGACTTACTGTGGTAGTCAGTTAAACAAATACACCCCAGAATCCCTAATCAGCATGACTGTGGCATTTCTAACACAAATGTGGATACTGGCAGGTTGGGGGCAGCTGACCCAATTAATGTAAAAAACAAAACAAAAAAACAAAAAAACAAAAAAACAAATAAGTAAGGTACTCATGCCCTGCCTATGTCCACCAAGACCTGCAGCTGGCACTAATCTCATCCATAATGGAAGTTTATCTTTTCAATCATGAGGATTCTCTTTTTTTCTCTGAACTTTTCAGTCTCCAGATCTCTGCCAAAGAAATTAGCTTAGTGTTGTCAGCCAAATTCTCCAGTTGAAAAACTTATACAAAAATGTTACTACTATTTAAATAATCCAACTTCAATCCAAAAAACATTTAATTTATAAATTATACTCACAAATTTATACATATATTAAATATATATTGTTATAGTTCGTTTAGTAAAGCAAAAACTCTCCTGAAATTATTTATTTACTATCACATTTATATCCTACTGCAATCAGACAACTCTTGGTGGTTAACCCAATGTAGAAAAAACAATAACTAAACATTCTGAAATAACCACTAACACTTCTATCTTGACAAACAGGGGAACACTTTAGACAGTAAAAGCAATTTTTAAGAGATGAAGGCTTCACTTTACATTGTAACTGATGACCACAGGGGGAAATTGAATTATATGATGACATTATTGGAGAAGTGATGATGGAATTTTTGTCCCTTTTTCATTTGGGGAAGGTTGGTTGTTTTTAAAGTAAAACAGTTTACAATAGGATGAAATGTACCTATTTTACTTGTTTTACCAAAAACTTGGTAAATCTCACTACTCTTCTTTGCCAGTTTGCTGCCAAAATTTAACAACATGATGGGGGGGGTGCTGGGAGGAGGGACCACTAGAGCAAATGGGGCCTACAGGCTGCTCATCTCTGATTTAAGATATGATTCAGGTGACATAACCATAATTGTAAGTGAAAGCTGCTGATACAGTGTGGACTTCAAGGAAGAGCAGTAAACCATTACATGAAAAAGCGGGTCAACTAGTCTATCACTCCAAACTCAAGTCTCCCTCTGAGTAAGTAAACTAGTACTTCAGTTCAGTAGACTCTTGCTTTTCTACAGCATCTGTCACAAGCAGTCATCAGTAAAGTTTTACCAAAATTTTGCAAAGTTTGCTTTAGTTCAAATGTATGGACAATAGACAAACATTATATTACATAACATGAACTTTTAACAAACATAATCTATGAAGCTTTGAAAGACAAACACGAATCACTGTAATGCAACATCCCATATTTGTTGGACACAGTAAAAAGTCTCTAATATTCTTCTATTCTTTGCTTCCCAATGTCTTATTATATATTGCTTTTTTTCTAAGAAATACAACAGGTTCCCAAAACACAATAATCATTTGAATATACGTACCACAGTGGTCGTCTTTCTCCACGCATTAAATGATAACTACATCTTAGTGGCAGGTTTGTCACAGGAGGAATATTATTATAAACACTCCAGAAGATCTAGATGGATAATGATTTTATTAATTTACACATACCAGCAAACATTATGAAATTACCTTGCTTTGTTTAGAAAGAAGATCATAGCTCAGTTCTAAAGCCCATGCTTTACACACACAAAAATTTCAGCTGCAGTGATTAGTATTTCCAGGCCCAGCCACAAAAGACACTGCCTGAAATTCTCTGCAATCACTAGTAATCAATACACTGATACCAAGCAAGATGGTCACAATCTCCTTTGATGTAAGAGACCTTCCATCCCAAAATTTGGGAGCATCATAATTTTATATTCCATCATATAATTCTCATGATTAACACATGTTTTTACCTGTACAGTTTGTACCGTGTAGATCTTCTTCAAATTTGATGCACATTCAGCTGCTGTGGTACCGGGAAGGGACCTAAAAAGTAAAAGAAAACAATTACATAAGAAAATGTACTCAATACGTATCAGAAAATAAGAACAATGAACATAAAATAGAAGTTACATACATAACAGCAATTTACCTGTAATGCTAATACTATAGACTTTTAATCCTGTTTTTGATCCCCAATATTATAACTGATGCAGACACGGGAAATTTGGAGCAAGGTGGCACCAATGTGACATTCAATATGACATGCATTTCTGCTTTTCTACTGCATGCAGACCATGAACCTTAATAACCAATGTTTGCATGCAATGATAGACTGCATAAAGGTAAATAAGTAAAGCTAATTCCTAGTGAGAGTGAAGTTCTGTGAGTGTTTCCCATATCGAGTTTAGTTTTAGGCATTCTAGATATTGTACTCTCCTGCAGGAAGGTTTGTAGTTGGGTAGGGCTTGCAAAATCATCAATGGCTAAAAGCATCTACTACCAGCTTTAGTTGGCATGATTCACACAGCCTTTTCTGGATAAGGTTAATCAGGAATTAATGGTTATTGCATTAATCATTAATAACTTCAAGACTGAATTATTTTAACACACTTTACATGGGGATTCCCTCTAAGGAGCTACTGCAAAATGCCACTGCTAAGGTACTCAAGGGGTCTTTATCATACACAATCTTTTTGTGTTGAAGATTCCACACTGAATGTCAACCAGTTACCAAGCCAGATTCCAGCTTCGGACTAGGTTACTGGAGGACTATCTACTTCCATATATGCCTATTTGCTCTTTGCATTCTAGAAATGTTTTGCTGGTAAAACCACAATTAGCTGGTATTTCATTAGTTGTGATGTGGAGACCAACATTCTCTTTATTGGTAATCCACTACATGAAACAAACTCCTTAAGAAGATTAGATAGGCTCTTATTATTGTAAAGTATTTCTACCTTAAATTAAAAATCTGACTAATGACCCAAGCTCTTTTTTATTTTCTTTATCTAACTTTTTGCTATCTGCTCTAATTATTACTTATTAATGGTGGTATTATTGCTTTATTATTTTTATATATTTGTATTTTATTGTATTGGATAGTCATAGCTTTTCAAAGAGCATCATTTCAATAATGTTTTCACAATGAAAAACAGTGTATACCTTCTATAAATAAATACACAAATACATATAACTATAGTGTTGAAAAAAATCACAGTGAAAAAAACAATGAAATTCAAGTACTTTATGTAATAAAAACATGCAAAGTCACAATCTTTCACTCTGTTAACCTACTTAAATCACAAGGAATTTAAAGCAACAAGTGGTTTAGGCTGCAATTGAACATCTTATCTTGGACTAAATTCCAATAACACAATTGAATTTACATGTAAAAATGCATAGGTCCATACTACAACTATATACAATTCCACTCAGATATTGAATAATGACAAGTTGGGAGAATATTGTTTGATTATTACAGTAGTTATTTAGCTACTCCATCATTTTAATTATAATTCTAATATTTAACTTCAGTCATTATTTTAAACAGCGTATTTTTTATATCCTGCATTTTCACAGGGATTAAATGGATATTAAGCTCATCACATTCATGTTTTGACACATTTTTATTCATTTCCTATCTTTACCACTAGATGGCAATCCACTATGAATTTACGATTAGCCAATCTAATGAATGAAGCTAAATAATGATTACTTAAATCTTACTGTAATGAGAACCTAATTTCACTGGAACTATTTCAGTACATGCAAATACTGAAAACTGTCAGAACCTGAAATATATAAGCATATGTGCTCTACTGGCACAGTATAACACAGCATGAATGCTTAACCACAAATGTAGGTATTACACATTTTGATTTTTTTCCACAGCCATTGATACTAATGCCAATGTATGTACCTAATACGTGCTAGTAATTTATTTTGGTGAGAATGCAACTGACAAGTACTATAGTAAGATGGAGAGATGTGCCAAACACAAAGACTGTAACAGCCAGGGCAGAAACATGACAGAATGTTGGATTTGAGTTGAGAATAACTGTAGACATACCTTTACTACTTGTTCTATAAATGGTAATCTTGTTTTATTCATGCACCTTGTTGGAAGGATCAATAGATCAGTGTTACCGTACACCGTATTCTAAAAGTTCTATATTAATGAGGAATGAGAGCGCCACCCTTGCGCTTTGAAAGGGTATGCATATTGTTAGATTAAAAGAGATCCAATCTAAAGCAGAAAAGCCAACTGAATCTTTGTGTAGAACTACAGGTAGTCCCCGGGTTAAGAACGCCTGGTTTACAGACGACCCATAGCTGTATTGACTGGTAACGGCTGCATAAACATTACAAAACAGACGAAGAAATAATGGCTAAGTGTATTGAACAAGTACAAGGATCCCACGCACCCATTCTTCATTGTTTGCTGTTATCAGGTTTAATCATTACCGTTCTATTTAAAAAAAAAAGTAACCCTTAATCTGTAAACCTTGTGGAAAGATTTGTGTTTACTTTGCCAAACAGAGAATAGCCAATATCAAACCGACTGCCTGGCTGATGGTCAGTGTAATAATTGCATCCCTTAAAGCAGCAACACTTTTTTCCAAGCTTACACAGAAGCCTGAAAAGAGAGCTTACTATAATGAATAGAATAAGAAGAGGTGCTTACACTAGCACAAGATCTCAAATACTTAAAACGTGCACAGTCTTAATGCAGACACACAATACATACGAATAACAACATCGTGTTTTTTTTTCCAAAGCTTTTCAAAGCTTCAGGTGCATCAGTGTATGGGTTAGTGAAATTAGAATTGTTTTCCCCGAATGTATATCACTTTACACCTACTTAAACTAAATTGCTTTTTACTACTTGACTGGCTGTTCTCCCAATTTAAAGAGATTCTTCTGGAACTTTTCAGTCACACTTGATTTTTACTACTCTGAACAGTTTTGTATTATCCACAAGTGTGGCCACCTCACTGCTTATCGCTCAATCAAGATAAATGATAAGTTACCCTGGCTGCAAAAGAATCCCTATGGGACCCCACTTCTTACTTCCCTTAAACTGCCAATTTGTTCTTTTCTTTCTGTTTTTAACCACTTTTTTTTGTGCCATTAAGTCAGTGCCGACTCTTAGCAACCACTTAGATAAATTCTCTTCAGGACATTCTGTGCCCAACTTGGTCCTTCAGATCTTCCAATAGTGTAGCCATTGCTGCTAATATCCACCTTGCTGCTGGATATCCTCTTCCTTTCTTTCCTTCCACCTTTCCCAAAATTATAGACTTCTCCAGAGAGCTAGGTTTTCGCATAATGGATCCAAAACTTGACAATTTGAGCCAGGTCATTGTCTCAAGTGAGAATTCTGGATTGATTTGTTCTATCATCCATTTGTTTGTTTTCTTGGCTATCTGTGGCATTCTCAGAATTTCCAGCACCAAAATTCAAAAGTGTCAATACTGTTTGCTTCTTCAACTTTCACTTCCATAGAGTGTCACAGGGAATACCATGGGTTGCATGATTCTGATCTTTGTAGATAGATACATCACAGCATTTGAGTATCTTTTCCAAGGCCTTCATTGCTACTGTACCAAGTACTAGTCGGCAGCATATTTCTTGACTGCTAGTTTCCTTACTGTTGATATTCAATCCTAAAAGACAAAAGCTTTTTAACCAGTTATATATGGACAGGCCTTTTATTCCATATCTGCTAACTTTGCTCCAGAGGTTTTGATGAGAACTTTGCCAAAGGCATCCATCCATCCATCCATCCATCCATCCATCCATCCATCCATCCATCCA